AAAAAGGCTGCGCAGAGAAGGAGGTGCTGACAAACACTGGCTGCGCAGTACGCACTCTCAAGACACACTGAACAGCAGTGTTTTCTCAAGGAGAGCTTCTCCCCAAGTCAGACTTCACGTCAGTCATCAGTCTAACTCCTCTATTTACGGCTTTAGAAAGTCAGGGGTTCACTGCAGCATCACTTTCCACAAAAGGAAGATTTCAGGCTTCAGGGCAGGTAGCATTTGTTTAAAACACATAACTTTATGTCTTGATAGGAAGTATCTATATGCATTTTGGGGGGAAAAGTTATTTTTTTTTTCAACAACATCAAATGTCTCCAAAAACAAAATCGGGTTTTATTTTTGGAACACATTACTGAGTAATTTCATTACTAATACTAGCATGTTAACTGGAAGGTTGGGGGCTGGGAATGTGGCTGAGTACTGTAATGTAGCATAGAGGCTTGGGTTCCATTCATGAGCCACATAAACCAGGCATGGTGGCTTATGCCTACAATTCCAGCACTCAAGAGCTAGAGGCAGGAGGATAAGGAGTTCAAGGTCATCCTTGGCTATGTGGTGAGACGGAGGGCAGCCTACATGAGACCGTGTCTGAAAACAACAACAATGAAACAAACAATGACAGTGAAACGGTAAGAGTCAAGAGAAACACTTGAGTTTCATTCTGTTCCAAATGTGCATGCGTGTGCATGTCTATGTGTTTTTGGGAACATGTGCATATGTGTAAAGGGCAAAGGTCAATGTCAAACGTCTTCCTCCATTGTTCTCCACCCTATTTTTTGGGGGACAGTCTCTCAATAAACTTGGAGCTCCTCAATTCAGGTAGGCTGGAAGTCCAGCAAGCCCCTGGGACCCACCTGTCTCTGGGCCCCAGTGGTAGAGGATTATAAATATGTGTTGTGGTGCACAGCTTTTATGGGTGCTGGGGATCCAAACTCAGGTCCACATGCTTGTGAGGTTGACACTTTACTGAGTCATCACCCAGCTCTATTTTAGCTATATTTAACCCATCATCTTTCTCAAGAGGAGATGAAGAGTGGTTTTTGCTTGTATTGTTTAAAATCAAGCAAATTTCATTGCAATGAACAAAACACACTCTCCAGTGACATGGGGCATTAATTTCATCTGTTCACAACTGTGATACACAACAGAATTGCTACCTACATTATTTTCTTATTTTGTATATTCTGAAAACAGCTTTAAAATACAAAGCTATTTTCTCCTGTTTATGAAGGTAACAGATGACAAAGGCAAGATACAGAGAGCACATCCACAGCAACTCCACTCTGAGAGGAGTGCATGCCTGGTTCTTCTAGTCACACCAATGGGAACATGGTTCCTCAGTTTTAGGGTTCATATTGTAATAGCTTTATGTTTTGTAAATCTGTGTGCATCTCAAATTTATAGACACAGTGATAATAATGTTTCTCTTATTAATATATGCACTTCACAGCTGTTGTAAAGAATGAGGCAGCTCTGCAAACAGCAGCCTACATTAGGTGCTAGACACACTAACTGAAAACAGAAAAGGGTAGGGTCACATACAGGCTGTGTCATCATTTACATATTAACTTATTTATTCATTTTGTTGTAGAATCAATAATTATATGCTGGTATGTGTATATTTTATTTGTAAAAGGAATCTCAAAGAACAGGCAAGGGTGTTCTGAAGGAGGGCATTAGCAAGGGTAGGGGCTGATTATTCATTGTGAACGTTTACATTTTATTATTTAAGAGTCATCATCTCAATTAAGTAAATAACACTACACATTGTGATAGATGTTTTTATATGAAGTGAGCATATGAAAACATAGGTGAGGACACAGATCAAATTGATTTGTGTTTGTCTTTTGAAAGGGGAAATACAGAGGAAGGAAAAAGGCATGGGACAGATTAAAGGAGAAATTACATGTAGGATACAGCCAATGATTATTACATGTAGGATACAGCCAATTATTATTACATGTAGGATACAGCCAATGATTATTACATGTAGGATATAGCCAATTCTCTAAAAATCTAAAAATTTGTCAATAGCAAATATTAACACTTATTATGATGACTTGTATGTACGCGTGGCATACTAGTCATGTACCCTTTTAAATTTAAATTCTGTCCAAATCCCCAAATTTGAAATAAAAATATATTTCACGGATACTACCACATACTCATCATAACTGCTAACATTAAAATGCTGACACTGGGTTGGTGGCGCACGCCTTTGATTCCAGCACTTGGGAGGCAGAGAAAGGTGGATCTCTGTGAGTTCAAGCCTAGCCTGGTCTACATAGGGAGTGCCAGGTCAGCTGGACCCTGTCTCAAAAACACCAAAAAAAAAAAAAAAAAGTGACACCATCAAATGCCGGAGAGAATGTGGAACACCTGGAATGCTGGTACAGTGTTGGCAGAACAGCAAAATGATGCAATCTACTTTGAAAAATGGCCCTCCAGTTTTCAGAAAGCCAAACTAAATCAAACAAGTAGGTATCTCAGGAGATTGCAATTTATGCATAGATATTAGCTTACTAAAATGGGCATATGGAAAAACTTGTACAAGAATGTTTATAGAAGCTTTATTAATGAGCCAAAAAGTGGAAAGAGCCCAAATACCTATCAATAAAAACTATGTGAGCAAATTGGCATATCAGTACAATGAAGTACTATTCAGCAATAAAAAGGAAGGCTATTGATACATGCAATATATGGTGGTTTTGTAGAACACGTCAGTGAGTAAGAAGCGTTTTTACAAGAGTGCATCCTCTGTAATCCTAGTTATACAAAGCTCTAGAACAGGAATTAAACTTGCCATAGAAGAAAATCAGAATGTGACTGGCAAAGAAGGCAGCCTATGAGAAGAAAAGTGACTAGGTGAAGGAGCCTGAGGCAATTACCAAGAGGACTATGCTAGTTTAGATTCTGATGGGAATCTAGGTTATACTATAGGTATGGAGACTTGTTAAAATCCAATTGGTATTGACTTTATGGCACGTACATCTTAAATACAAGGCCTTGGGTTTGATCACAAGGTCACAAAAGATGTACATTTTATTATAAACAAGCTTTGCCTCAAAAAGGAAAATAAACCTCTAAGCAAATATTGGACACTAGTTGATGATGTATGAGCGAGGTGTACTGATATCTGCAACTCAGCTTAAAATGCTTCCAAAAACATAAAAAATAGATATGTGACAATGTTTTTACTTATTATTACATTGTTATTATTAATAATTAACAATATAT